CTAATGAATTATAGTACCTATGTATTATAGTGTAGCACATTATACATCTATAATTGGTATTATACATTATTAACAGTAAATACCTAGTCTCTACCTATCTATATACAATTAATTACTGTTGAACATAAATTATTATAATAATAACATATTTGAATGTTTAAAATAACTAAAATAATATATTACTTTACGTTTTAACAGTGGCATTCTCAGGATTTAGGGGGGGATATGTAAATTAGTTGCTAATTGGGCCTTGGGGGCGGCAGTGGCGTCATTAGGTGGAGGGCAACTGGGGCATTTGCCCCAGTCTAGTATTTACATCAACCTTAAGTCTGCACATTTACCCCCCCCCCTCTTACCTCTATGGCACTAAGCTATGATAATCTAAGTGAAAAAAATTTTGCAGTGAATAATTGCCCTATAAAAACTGAAATGACGACACTGCGTGGGGGGAAGGAAATTTAGCACTGAAAAAAGGCCATTGGGGGATCCCCCAGTGATAAGGTCCATATAAGTTTAAACTCTAAAATGATTTTCTCTATAATTTCCTTATTTTGTTGATGTTATCGGGCAATACTGCAATACTTCCGATACTTTCAATTAGTAGATTATTAGGTACTAGGTACTTAGTACAGGGGCCTTCTTTTTAGGTACTATGCATAATTATGTATATGACTACTGTTTATTTAAAATTGAGAAATAACATATTAGTATTAAAAATCTTATTAAGACTGGACTCAGGTACATCCAAAACATTATATTATTTTCTATAACACACATTTGGAAAGCGGTATAATTTTGAGGGTACTCTGAGACCCGAGTATATTATCGCTCAAGTTAACTATTTGGCTCTCCCACACAAAAAAAAATCATTTAAAAATTTTTATTGCTTCAATGCTGTAGCTGAGAAACCTGCGTCCATGGCTTTATAAGAGTTGGCCACACTTGTGTGTTGTTTCCATACATAAAACGTACGGCGTAGCAAATCTGTGTTCAGCAGTTAAAATCTTGTGTAGGAAGTAACCTAAACACTAGAGTGAATTTACCTACCCTGTCAAACTTTAAGGTAAGAATATTATCTGTGCTTTCACTAGAGTTTTTTAAGATAATTCAATTTGTTAGCCTCCTCTCTAGTCGTATACAAAATCTTCGATGCTTTTGACACGGTTAGCGACATTGTGATCCCAGTCCCCAGAGTTCAACGAGAGAGAACTACTCAAGGCAACCAAAATATTCTCTGTGGGCAATGCTGAAGGTTCCCTTAGAATACTCAACGAGAGATCCTCAAGTTGTAGTTTCCTTAGATGCACGTCCTGAGACCTGAGAACCTCGCTAGCTTATACAACTACTTGTACGCCCCCACAAGGGCGTGGGTTTGTGGGTTTTCCCCTTTCAGCACAAGCTGACATGCCTAATTCTAGTCTCACCATGATATTTACGGAACAGAGGATTGCCCGAACTGAGGTTTAATTCTGAAAATGTATTAGTAAATAGACTGACGTTGAAATGGTGATTGTAAGGCTAAAAGGCTACCAATATTACCAGTATTACAGTTATCTTAAATTCTTAACATATCATGAGTTAAAAAAAAAGTTGTACTTATGTATTGTTAATGTTTTTATATTGCTGTCAGAACACCTTTAAACACTTTAAATTACAATAAGTACCTTTAACTTTTAAGGCTTAAATCACATATTTTGAAAATAAAAATTTAAAAATTATAACGGATAGGTTGGTACTATTGTACAAAACTGCATATTTTGTTAAAAAATAAATACTGATGTAATATAATATCTAAGGCAACTTTGTCTAAATAATAAGTAATAATAACCCTATCTTTAACATTACAAATAATATAATTAATAGATACAAAATGAATGATAATTTCTTAAGAGCTATTAAAATATCCATTATTTGAAATTATTTACATAATTTAATAAACCTAATTATATTGTCGTATCAACATTAAAATGTAAAAGGCAAACCTGCAAACAGATATCACATTGCACAGCTGACTTAGGTATTTGGGTTACCGTTCAGACAGACAGATTATATTTGAAGTAAAGCATAAAAATAATGTCGATAACATAATTGTATTTACTACATACCGGGGTGAGCAAAAGTCACGCAACCGATTTGTAAAAAATGACGCAAAATATAAAAGGTTGTTTAACTTTATTATATAAACAAAAACAAATATATAGAGTTTAATTTAAGTATACTATATTTTTAATTTATACATGTTGTATGTTCAATATGACAACTGTCTTCATCAATACACGCTAAACAACGCTTTCGGACCATTTGGCAGATGCGTTCTAGAAGAGATTTGTCGTCACTGATCACATCAAGTTCTGAAGCTGATCCAGAATTTGTTCGTACTGTGCTTTGGAGCGACGAAGCTATTTTTAAACTAAACGGGCGTATAAACCGACATAATTGCGTTTACTGGGCATTTGAGAACCCGAATTTAGTTCTATAACAAGAACTAAATGTCCCGGGAATCATGGTTTGGGCTGGAATTTGCGCCCACGCGATCGTTGGGCCGTATTTTTTTGAAAACGAAAAAGTAAATGGTACGACGAACTTAGACATGCTGCAAAATCTTAAAATTGAACTTGCAGAAAGTCCAGTGTTGGCCGGTCATCAAATGACATTGCAACAGGATGGCGCACCTGCGCATTTCTCAGTCCAAGTACGAACGTTTCTCAATGAAAACTTTCCGGGATGGATAGCACGCCGCTGAATAGTTGACTGGCCACCACGGTCGCCGGACCTTACACCCTGTGATTTTGCCTTATGTGGCATAGTGAAGGACAGAGTATTCGCCCGTCGGCCACGTTCCATCGAAATTTTGAAAGCAGTCATCACGGAAGAACTTGATGTGATCAGTGACGACAAAGCTCTTCTAGAACGCATCTGCCAAACGGTCCGAAAGCGTTGTTTAGCGTGTATTGATGAAGACGGTGGTCATATTGAACATACAACATGTATAAATTAAAAATATAGTATAAATTAAGCTCTATATATTTGTTTTTGTTTATATAATAAAGTTAAACAACCTTTTATATTTTGCGTCATTTTTTACAAATCGGTTGCTTGACTTTTGCTCACCCCGGTATATTATAATTTATTATGTAGTATGTAATATAATATTTAAACTATAGGCCGTTAGGCCCCCCACGTTCTGGAAGCTGGAACGTATCATACGATTCTTTTCTTCTGTACAAATAACATTAATCTGTATGTTGTCAATAGTGGCATGATATTTTTTTCCGTTGAGACAAGGTTCTAATCAGACCACATATTTACTTACCACAGAGTGGATTTTGCAGACATTCCGCGGCCGCCTCATAAAATAGCTATTCACTCCGCCACTGGCGGTGGGCTCAAGCTAATGAATAGGACAGAACGAGATGTCTAAAGAGTAAAGGCGGTGGACTTAGGTCGGCCCGCGAATGACGCCACGGGGTTTCGTCAATTGCAACGAATTTGGGACACTACCTGTATAGTATACATCTATTGCGCCGGCATAAAAAAGGTATATTAAAAAGGAATACATCTATTGCTCTGATATTAAAAAGTAAATTTAAATAAATATAATTTACATACATATATTACATACAAATTTATCTTTCTGATGAAGTTATTAGGAGAATGATGTTCATGTTTGATTTCTTCAAATAAAATTGTAGTTTTAACATCATCTACGTACGTAAGTTCCTTAAAAGAAAATTTATAATTTTGGTAAATAATTAGTTCGTTACCATGTTCACTTAATACAATTTCCATTATAAATTTAAGCACGAGCCACGACAACTAAACGAACGACTATACGAACAACGCATGGAATCGTACTGCACAATACTATGGATTTACCTATAACCTAACATGGTATTTGTCCACCTTTTGTAATTTGTTTTATCTTCAAGTAATAAAATAATATAATTCAAACTTACCTATGATATAGATGTACGATATAGATATATTAGATTAAAATACGTATAAACCGATATGTAGTTATAATAGAAATAGTATTATAGACATTTGTATATATTTAAGAATCGATCAGCGTAATTAACGTACACCATTTATTACATTCAAATATCGATCAGCGCAATTGATGTATACCTTTTTCCTATCCCATAATTTTTCTTTCTTTACCTGCGATTTCCGGCGCAATTGATATATGCCCGACGCCACTTCTAGTAATCATGATGACGAATAAATTAATTTATGTAACGGTGGTTAATCGGGGTCGGTCGCATCCATCCCCAATTGTGGCTAAGCCAATTGTATTATGATGAACATTGGAACTGAATCTGCATATAATAATATACTAGCTTGTTAAAGAATGTGGGTTCAGGCTTCCTTTGGTACAACCACAATTTGCACAATATTTATTTTATGTAAAAAAAACGATGCTGCATAGGGGGGGGGAGGCACTATACACACATGAACAACCCCTATGTGGTGATGTTATTATATATAAAAATAATAAATAGGTTAGGTTGGTTTGAGTTTTCCCTCGGCGGGATCAACCAAGACGAGGTGGAGGAACTTGCAGGCCTTTGCTAGTGTTTTATGAAACCACGACTAGTTGTTGGGAGACATGCAAGACATGCAATCTCAATAAATATCATACAAATTGCAAAATGTAATTAGACATCTGTTTGAGTTTTAATCGTCGAGAAACATTAAGTGGACATAATGAATATATATTAATTTCTCTTGAAATCCAATTTACTGTGCATCTTCCATAGTAAATTTCAGACCATGTGTATTATATTATTATAAACCTACTCCATGTTTTGGGACTTCGGGAAGTAATGTGTATTATGTTATTTCATAATAAATAATTATAATATCTTATAGTTATATTAAAATAGGAATATAAGTTGGAATCTAGAATATTATGTCATAGAATGAGGGTTTTTGGCCTCCCAACCATAATTTGTATATGCACTCGGCAAGTCAGAGCGGTACATTTGCAACTGTTGCCACTAACTACCAGTAGAATTCCGATTTTTTTTCACGCAATAACAATGCTTCTTTAACCTCCAGTCGTCCGTGCAAAAGCTCTGGAACCCGTACATGTTAATACGACTTATGTCACCAAGCATGCCGAACGCGCCACTGCCACTGTCTTCCTGGCCGACGGTCACCTCAAACATGCTCCGGCCCGGTAACGTTTCCACAACCAACAAGTACTCGCGGCGACCGTTTACCCGGTTCACCCTGGTTCGTGCTGACACGGTTTTTCTCAGCGACAAGTAAGAGCAAGCGTACCCCTGGTGCACCGCTGTTTGGTACTTGGTTAGCAGCGCATTCAACTGCCGCACAACGTACTCCCCACCGTCCATTGCTGTCCTGCTACGCCGGTCCAATTCTTCGTACTCGTCGCACGTGCACCAATGCGGCGCGATGCCCGCTTGTTCGCACGACCTGTTAGGTAGTATAACTATTATTAGTAAAAATAGTGTTATTATAGGTATAGTCCGGTTTAGGTAGGTCAATATAATATTGTTTGTATTACCTATTAATATGAAGTGTGTTAAAATGGGTATAAAAAGTTTTCAAGTATCGATTATTGTAGATTTATAATTTATACGATAATATAATTTTAGTAATAGGGGATATGGGGACAAAGCTCCACCGACTCTGTGAAGCATTTACAATTATAGCACTCCACATTTTAGAGGTCTAGTTGCATCAGGGACCAATAAGTGGATATTTCAAGTATATTCTGCATATATTTATGATCATACCAATACAGCGTAGGTACCTAAATATTCATAGTTACAAAATCGCATTTTATATTTTTATGAAATTATCAAAGCAACAAAATATTAATCTTGTGAACATTGTGATTGAAGTGATATGGGAAAATGTCATGAATTATAAACATCACAAGAACAGAATCATTTTTTTATAATCGGATTCGTGGAAAATTTACGGCTTTCGTTTAAGAAATTAAATGTGGTGCTAAAATATATTAGGTAAATGTAGAATATAATAAGACATATTTTGCTAAAATTATATTTTTGACTGTCATCTCTCGTTGTATTTAAAAAGATATAATTATTAAATTACTACACACTTTTGAATTAATGTACCTATATAATATTATGAATGTTTAATATTATAGGTACAACACAATATAATATATACTTTAAATTGTGATCACATTTTGTGATATTTATTTTATTGTCAGTAAAACTTTTTTTTATATTAGATAATATGTTTGTTCGTGAGTACCATGAAAATCCCAAACAGTGGAAAAATTCACCCAGTACCTAAAGTCCAATTTTAATTTTGAGTGTAGAATGTTGGATTTTAGTTTGCGAAATTCGGTGTTAGTGTGATAAATATTTCATACCTACTTTAAAAATATAAAATTGATGGTGTTTCACTATAATAATAGTTAGACCTAAAAAATCAAGGGGTGCTAAATTATAACTTGTTGTTGCTAAAGACCCTTTTGCATCCCCCTGACCCCTATATAGTTACGCCATTGAGTGCAGCCGGTATAGTTTCATAGCAAGGTATTTAGCACTCCCCTCTAGTTCTATATTACATAATATACAAAATTCAAATATAAAATAACCTGTTGGCATCGGCCAGGTGGAACAGGCTGCGGCAAGTTGGACAGCCGCCGGCCAAGGTAGCCTGAAGACTGCTGTTGTTGTCATCGTCGGCGTTCTGCTGAAACAGCAATTGCTTGAAAGTTAGGTGCAGATCGAACGGCGACGTCAACCGGTGTTTGTTGGCTGCCAGAGCCACGAAGTGGTCGGGTCGCGCGGCCACATATCCGGGTGGCAGGCGCGCGTAGAAAGCGGGCATCCGGTCCTCTAGCCAGCCGACGCGCGTCTGGCGTATCGCCCCGAACCGGAGCCCGTGGTCACTGAGCACCACTGTGAAAGCGTTATCCAGCAACTGGCCGTTCAGCAACTTGGACAACGCGCCGGCCGTTCTCTGATCCATGGCCGACGGTGCGTTCACGTCGTTGTGGCTGAACGTGTTCAGCCAGAACACGGCAAAGTAGCCGTGGCGTCTGTGTAACCGGACGAAGTCCTCAACGTAACTGTACACTCGGTCGGGCGCGGACCGTGGGCCAAGGCAGAAGTTCATGCCATCGAACTTGACTACCGGCAAGTAACGCTCGGCCGCCAGCATGTACGGCCGCGAGTAGTAGTCGGTCGGCGCGTTCCGGAATCCGTATTTGCCGAAGTTGTAAGTGCCCATGCTGGGTTCGTCTTCCACGTACGCCGTAACGTAACCTGTAGTGACATGGGCACGACGGTTATATTATGTATCATGTATTATATCATATTATGTATAAATGTATTATAATCTTAACTATAGGTATATGGATATTTTAAATTATTATGGTATTATTGGTAGGTATATTGTTTTAAATTTAGTACCCAACTATTATTATCACATTATCATGCCCAAAGCCCGAATAAATCTGTAGGTATCAAGATTTAAAATATATATATATTTGAGATATCTCAAATCGTGATAGGTATATAGGGCAGTAAGTTGTTCAAACAAACAATTAAATAATAATATTAATATCTAGGTATTTTAACATTTTAAATATGATGTCGAAGTGTGATGTGTGCACCATATCGTGTATCAAACGACAATATTTCATAAACATATCAGATCAAAGTGGCTAAGTATAAATTGAAAACAGGACATTCCGGCAGTCATTGAAAAAAAAAATGATATTTGATAAGAATTTCGCATCCCCCCCAAGAATGAACAGGAGCGCAACTTCGATGGAAAACTGGGGGTGCTAAAGGCTAAAGCTACCTATTTTTTCAGTTAGTCTTATCTTAATGATAATTCAATAAACAATGAGCAACTTCATCCCACACACACCCTAACATAGTAATCATATACATTAACATGTACTATAGCTGTATTGCTCGAGGACTAATTAGACTGATATTGGAAATTCACACCTGCGGTGGATCTTTATTACTATAAAAAACTTTTTTTACGTGTATGATAACTGATAAGTCACTCTAAAATCACAACCTAAATAACCTATACAAACAACAAAAATTCTATTCGTAAGTCAAATAAAAATATGTGTGACTGTATGTGTGAGTCACTCTATATAAAGACCTATAGGGGTTGAAGTACGAAGCTAAACACAAACCCTCCCTGAGTCTAAAGGAATCTATTGATAAAACTTTTATTGAAAACGTTACAATAGTTTATAATAAATAGTTTGCAATAAATGATAGGTAATGGTAAAAAAAAGTAAGAAAGAAACATTAATTTTTATACATATTATTATAGATAATAATGGGTTTGTACTGAACATATTAATTTATTAGTACAAAATAATAATTATAATTAATCACAAATGTCATAAATTATACTAATTAACTAATAAAATAAACTCCTTAAGTAATAAGTAGTACAAAATATCCAAGAATTTGAAAAAAATTGTCTTTGAGTATTTATATTTGAAAATTACAAAATTCAGAATTTCAATAAATTTGTTAAAATGGGAGTGAGCATCTTTGGTGAATCACCCTGTAATATAAACGATAACATTTTAAATTGTTATAAGCCGAAACAAAATGTGTGTGCTACCCTATAGCGACATAATATGGGGGTTAAAAAAATAAGCTAAAAACCGTCCCTGAGTCTCAAGGAACCAAGAATATAGCTTTTACCTCAAGCAGTGATGTCTGAAAGTTATACACTATCACGACATACGTAGGTTGATATAATTTTAACTATATAAAGGTATTAAGTAGGTATTTAATATATATTATGATTTATGTTATGTTATAACTTGTAGATATATAGCTACTCACCTCTTTCTTTAAAATCTTTCCACAGAAATGGACATTCGTCCATCTCGTCGTTGGGACTCTTCCAACACCGTTTAGTCATTTGATTTACAAACATGCCAGTTAAAATTGGAACTACGTTGGGAAACGTATTGTCGGCGACTTTAGTGTACCCCTCAAGTGACACAAATCCATGCGTTTGCAACAATCGATATGTTATAGGCATTGATCTTATAAGATTTAAGCGAGACAATGAGTCGATAGATATTATTAGCACGCTTGGCTTGTCTGTGATTTCTGCGTTTCGAAATCGCCTCTGACCTTTATCGATCACCATTGCATGAATATCTTTATAAACATTCGACTTTAATTTATCACCATTTGGTCTCAATTCACATGTTACCATCATGTATTCGACTGACTTGGGAATTATTTCGGAATCGTTGATGGGATTACATTTTGGATCAACTCTAAAAAATACGTTAAAATGTTAGTTAAAAAGTTAAAAAGTTTACCTAAAAGTTAAAACCTAAGAGGACATTACTGCAGACACATTCGTTGTCTCACACAATATATACATAACATACTAAATGTATGTTTCCAAACTTATGTTTATATTGAGTGAGTAGTATATTATTTTGTTGTTATTGGTAGGTAATGGATTATTAGAATAAACTTAACTACTATCAAACTTAAGGGGCCTGCACGCGACCTGTTTTTTTGCTCAAAAACATGCCTTACAGGAAAAACTCTCACGCCTCGTAGATTGGTCCGATTTCCGTAATTTTTTTTTTGTTAGATAGAGGAAGACTTCTTACAGGGCGCATTGGACTTGGATTTTCAACATTATTTTTCTAAGTCTTATGTTACAAGTTTGAATTTAATCAATTTTTACAACTTTTTAGTTCTTGTATTATTTTTTGTTTTTAGCGACGTAATCAAAAATCGAAGTCCAATGCGCCCTGTAAAAAATATTCCTCTATCTAACAAAAAAAAAATTACGGAAATCGGACCAATCTACGAGGTGTGAGAGTTTTTCCTGTAAACTGTGTTTTGACCGATATAATACACCCTATCAACCCCCCCTAAATAGGTATTGGGTAGTAGATTAGTGGAAAATTCTTATAATTGAGGTGGCAACTAAAATATAAAATTTAATTTTCAAATTTTATAGAATTGCGGAAAATTTGAAAAATCGCGAGCAGGCCCCTTAAACTAAATTCTATAAATACGTTATCCATGGCCCACAATCTTGTTGGTTTATTCGATATTTTAATTTTAAAGCTAATTTATTATAAGTAGATACAATATAACAATAAAATTACACTGAAATTCACATTGAAACTAAAATATCGAAGAAACCGACGCGGACGAGAACACATCTCGTCTATTAAATATAACTTATGTAAGATTTATCCTTTTTATTTTTAAATAAATTGAGTGATTCATTTAACGTAATACACTTGTTATTTCAAAACGTATATTAATGTTTTTGAAAATATTTTCTATATGGTTTCCAGGAAATACAAAATAACTATTGACTTGATACTGTACAAGTATATGTGTGTATTTTATATACTATACAATATAAGTATATATATAGTGCATATCAGAAGTGTCATTTACCTTGTTTTAAATTTTCAATCCTAAGCTATATAAGTTGAACATTTTATAAATTTTTAACCACAAAATAATTATTAAATAATACATTTTATAAATTTTGTCAATATTTCGAACTTTAAATTCTCATACACATTTATAAAAAAAAAACTAAAAAAATTGAAAATTGAAGTTGACGTTAACAACTCAAAACGTACCTAGGTATCAAAATATTTTCAAAATTTTATGGTGTATAGAAAATTAACATATACTTAAACATTCAGTTACATTTTCAAGTAATTATAGTAATTTGATTTTGAATTACAACAAAATAAGAAAATCGCTACAAGAGAAATCGAGTGAATATTCAATGTTGTAAAAATATGAACTTCAGACACTTATAAAAATTGAATTTGTTTTTATTGAAAAAGATAGACAAACTTATAAGGAATCATGTATTACATTTTAAGATCTTGGATTTAAAAAGATAAGTTTTTAGGATTTTCTAACTCAAAATAATTTGTACATTTTCGTGATTTTTACGCCTTTTGTCAAAATTTGAACTTTAAATGCTTATTAAAATAAATTGTGACCATGTATTTTTAATATTTTCAACTCTCATTTCAACAATATATTAGGAGCTTTGTATTAAATTGTCAAGCTTTTTGACCTTACGAATAACATTTTGCTGATATTTATACAAAAAAAATAAACATAAAAATTGGAAACTGAATATGTCCGTAAATAGTTCAAAACAAATCAAAATATTTTGAAAATGTTATCGTGTATATAAAATGCTGATATAAACAACCAGTGAAAATTGCATGTAGGTACATACGGTAATTTGTTTTAGAGTTACATAATCAAAAACCAAAAATCCGTTTTTCCTTAATTTTTATTTTGGTTCTCCCTGCACTTTTAAAACTATTGGGAATATTAAATATTGACCTCCCGAAGCATCAACTAGATTCACTTTCTCATCAAAAAAGATACTGTTGAAGAAATTCGAAGCAGTGTTGGTACCCAAATGGCAATGACGGACACAAAAATTAAAAACTAAAAAAAAACACACATTATTATAAAATCATCACATTCATCGCTCCGCTCAGAATCTAAAATGCTTACTTAGATAATTTTGTTAAAATATGTTCTATGTATGCAGCAATTTTCTTTGAATTTTATGACGTATGCCTATGTTAACAAATATTTTCTATCTACTCCCGTCGAGCTGCATCATACAAAAATAATAATATGTAAAATAATAAAATCTGAGCGTTATAGTTTAGTAATTACAAGATTTACTTTTATTTTTTTATGTAAAATATTAAGGTCTTGAATATTAATATTTTACGTAATTTGCAATGTCATCATTTGATTTTTTTTATATGCAACAATGTAGGTACTTACTTACAACATATATTATGTTTATAAATATATGATATATGCATTTATTATCTGTACTTATGTTTAGCTTTAGTTAAAAATTACATTTTACTGGCCAGTACGCAAATTGTAATAAATATACTTACGTGTAATTTTCAAATATTACAATGACACAATATTTATGACTCATTCAGCAATGAATCTAATATCCAGTAAATAAGTTATGATTATGTTTCGCAATTTTAAACAACGATTAAATATACATTTGTACAATTATAGGTTACCTAACTAATTTTGACGCAATGTTATATTGTTTCCAATTCATTAGTCATCACTCATTACAATTCCAACAATTAAACCATACCCACCAATTACCATTATCCCTACATAAAATAATTCAAAACCACTTCAAATTTATATAATATTATCATGCAATTCATAAAACTGGTATTTAGTAGGTACATCTAAGCATAGAGTAGTAATGTTAAGTATACACATAGGGCTGCAACTCGATTGAGCACAAATGCAATCAAATAATAGGAATAAAAAAAATCCCAAAATACAAGCAAAGTTGTAACGTTGAGTTTTTCTCTATTTTTAGTGGATTAAAATAAATTATTATAAGTTAAATTAAGTTTAAAAGAATTTTTTGAATAATGCTATTTACCGTTAATTTGTAACGGTTCTTTTTTTTTTTTTTTTGTAAACATTTAAAGTTAAAATGTCAACATTCATCAAAGTTACAAAAATGTATTTGTAGTTAAAAATGTATAAAATGTTCAATTTGTATAGATAAAATATATATATTTGAAAGTTTATAACAAAGTTTCTCATAAATAGTTCATACTGTAACTACAAAATCTAAATAATATATGAACAAAATTTCGTTTTATAGATTTTTAAGTTCAAAACTGGATGAAATTAGACATTTAATTATTATATTTGAATGAATAATAACAATTTTAGATGTTTTGTTGTGATTTAAAAACATAATTCGTGGGTACTTTTTAAAGTATATATTATTATATTTTATGCACACAAATACACAATCACATTTTCAAATGCAATGTTTCTGGCAAAAATTAATTCAACCTATTGTATTACCACTATATATATTTTAGTATAATATAGGCTGACAGACCGTTTTCACTCGGAATCGCTTTTCGTCTACAATATCATTAAATTCAAACTTAACACATCCATTACAGTCAATCACTTGACACGTACTAAACTTATTTATTAGAATATTAATAGAAACTATAGTTTTACACATTTACAAAACACGTATTAATTTTCAAATGTACAAGGTTCATTAAAAAAAAAAAAAAAAACTGAATACCTTATAATAATGTTTAAAATACCTTCTTATAATATGATCAGGGTCTGTGGGTTCGCATAAATACTCTTCCAATCAATAAGGGAAATATGAAAACGTATCTCTATTATCTATATAATAATTATTAATTAATAATTCACCCATGGATCCCCAAAAAATAGCCAACCTGCAGCGCTTATGAACTATGACGAATAGTTTTAAATTACCTATAGATAATTACTTATTATATTGTTTAAGATCAATAATAAAAATGTAATACTTACTTATAACGATCGTCATCTTTTGGATTATTTTTGAATTTCAGTTCATTTCTAACAATTGACGAATAACAACAATTAACAATTGATTTTGAAATTTGTGAGTGAAGTCCATAGTTAATTTTGAAAGTGTAAGACCATTTGTTTACATCAAGGATTACGCTGGTTAATGGCAATGTTGAAAAGCACTTAGGAGAATTGATTTTTTTAATAAAACTTTTTATTGTCTTGTCGTAGGCACTTATGTTAGGTATTCGACAGTTATCATTCCATACAACATACCCTTCTTTCACGTTATCATCAATTTTTGTTGGTATTTTTGTGTCTATAAAAATAACATAAATTGAATTATTTGAATAGCTTGTGTAAACATCAAAATATAAAGTAACTATTGGGCTATATATTTTTTTACTCAATACCTAAAATGTTAAAATAATAAATGCATGTATTTTGTTTATAAATAAATATCTTTATTATATTATGTATACAACATGTATATTACTATTTTCAGATGTGATGACTTTGCTGTAATATGAATGGTATTCGTCAGAATGGTAATCTATTGAGTTTTCAATTTCATAATTTCTATCACTACAATATAACAGTAACAAAGTTATCATAAAAACCACATAGAGAATGATCTTGTTGGCATCGTTTGTACCCTTCTTCAAATTTTTGTTTTCAGTCATAATTTAAGTTTTCTGCAAAAACAATATAAACAATTAAAGATCATGTACCTAATTTGTCCAAGGTAAAAGGGTTTCAATCAATATTCACTATCACTGTGTGGTGTGTAGGATTTTTGATGCCCGGATATCATAATTTAAACTTTTACGGGATTAGTAGACTAGAATAGCCTATTGGTGGCGTCGGCATGGACAAGAGTGAGGAGTGACTATATATGTAGATACCTATATGGCTATATACTATATTTGGGGTCGTGTGTATCTATATATTAAATAATATGGTGGTAGGGTAAACTGTACAGTGTACTATAATACAAATGTCAAATATACAATATAATATGTTTATACTACCTATATAATAATATATACAACACAATTATCATGCACACGCATTGTCATTTTAGGAAGTGGTTGGGTTGTGCAGGGCCAGCCAGCGTGTTAGTACCTAATAAAATTATGTGGGCCGTGGGGCATCATGATTTATAAGTATTGACCACGCCACTGTAGTGTAAACAATAATTAATTGTTTTATACAGTGTTATTTTACTGAATTAATAATTAATAGTATTATATAGTTTAGGTATTTTAAAATAATGAATACACATATTGTATGCAATCTATGAACTATGATGTTAACGAGATAGTAGCCTAAAGTTAATGATTTAAGTTTTAATTAAAAGAATTATCAATTTGTAATTTTTAAAAAACTTAATATTTAGGCATTGGTATGTGAATTTTGAGTTTTCAGACTTTTCCTATACTCGATAAATTGATATGATTAATATTGACGTCAGACTTTTTTTAATTTAGCATCTAGATACCTAGTTATTTGAATAACCACTTAATCTGTTCAATCATTTTATTTTATACAATGTAATGTATTAATCTTTTCTTAAGGAAGAACATTAATACTAATAACTAACATACTCCAGACATTTACTTTAACAAATGTCAAGTGTTTCTGTGTTTATAACATTTGGGTTGTAACCTGTGGGTACCGGATATACTCCGGTACACAATATAATAGTAATAATTTTTAATCTTCTGCTTTGTGTGAGTTATATTATGTACTTGTATGCGCGTTATTGAGTGTCAGTAATATACAGAGATAAGGACCATAAGGTCTGGTTATAATATGATTTATTATGGTGTTATTTCGAGTAACAATTATTTTAAATTATAATTAATTAGTAAATAAATTATGGATGCGATATTATATTGAATTCGTTATGATTGTACAAATAATACTCAAGTTTTAATTTAATATTTAAAGAAATAAAGGGTAGACATATTTAAATGTAAAAAATATATATTATTAGTTATTCGAATAGGTAATAGCTACAGATATTTAACGTGGCGTAAGGCCTAGAGTAAAAACATAAAATAACTTTAAAATATTTAATATAAACTACAGTCTATAGATCCTTTAATAACCAAAAAATTATAAATGTACTGTAATGTCATTATAATTTTTTCTTAAACTCTAAAAACTTATTTTCTTGAGGAACAGAAAATAAAATCAATAACTTATATAAATATTTTGCAAATATATTATACCTACATAATATTATGCATTTGTATATTATACAAATGCTATGAAATTATAAGACGTTATAGTTATATACTTATTGAACTTGTAATATATTAAATAAATTAAGGCCACCATTCTGGGTCAATTTTAATGAAAATTAATTTTTATTATTTCTTTAAACAAATATTAATGTACCTATGTCCAATAGACTATTGTATTAAATATTAATGGATATATCGATACATAGAATAAATAAATTAATAAATTATATAATCATCGATAATATACTAATTTAATAGACTTTAGTAAATACTAAATAATAATTGAAGCATCTGAGAAGTAAGAACATTTACAAAAAAAACCGGGGAACTCGCTTGTAACCTAACCTTTATAGTAAGACATGTCAAGTGTACCTCACTACCTCGTCATTGTCCATTGAATAGATTACTATAACAGTTTAACAGATCTCTTAAATTTAAATTCAAACATAAACTCGAAATGCATAAAAAAGTATGAAACACGATGCATTCTGAGCGATGGCGGAAAATAGCACAAGAAGAGACAAATAAAAAAATAATAATATTTAGTGAGAATTTCAAGTTTCAATATAGCCTTAAAAAAACAAAATCGATTTTGTCAATAAATGGACCAACTAAATCTAATTTTCTACCAGGAATCACACTCAAAGTTTAAAATCGAAGAAATGTTAGTATTAAATTCTCTAAAAGCTAATATGCATCATTGTAAGACCAATAGGTACTTATTATACTTCATACCTACATTCACCGCTCCACTCAAAATTAGAATTAAGTCATTTTTATCAAACAATATGTGTAAGTGTTGGTAATTAGTTTAAAACTAATTCAATTTTACTTTCAAAGTGAGTTTAAAATGGATACACACATTAAATATATATCAATTATATAATCTATTTAGGTACAAAAAAAAATTGAAACAGTATATTATTTTGATTTTATATATATTATGCATGAGAAAAAATGACATAATATATAATGAAGAAGGTGTGATCTCAATTAGATATTTTTTTTTATCGTCTATACACGCACATACGCATTATGTATTGTGTACTTTTATAATATTTTTGACGAAGAAAAATCACAGAGTATATTTATTATTTTATCAACCGGACCTATATTTCACTTCCTTTAACGATAAAATAACAATTAAAAAAAAAAGATTATTTTTTATAAGTATAATTTGACTATAATAAGTATAATTTAATATTTATGTCATAATTGACGTATTAAATAAACTATATACATTAGTTATTAATACACCTTGATCTTCGACACTAAAGGTAGAAAATATAAATTAATGTATGGCTATATACATATAAATTATTTTATTACGACAGGATAACATGTATTTATATATTACAGAAAGCTATATTTTATTTAATATTTTGAGTGAATAATATAAATACCTACATAATAGTATAATAGGTTAAAGGCTTATGACTACATTAGGAGCACGCTATCCGCATATACGTTGTCTCCGTCTTACAAACACATACCAGCGAATTGTACGTTCTGACTTCTGAATAATCCATTTAACTCTGTTATATTTAATATTATAGTGAATTGACCTATCGTACAATTTAGAAGTAAGAATGTTGTCTACTTAATCTCAAACATTTTTTTTGTATTTTAATTTTAAAGCGAGTTATAATCATTTTAAAATGCTCATAATTCGCTTTAAAATTTAAATATACAAAAAAACCTACTCAATTTACCTACTTTTAAATTTTATAATAATACGTTAGGTATAATAGGTTACAATATAATTCAATTCACTCTAATATTAAACATAACAGAGTAACAGACTACACTGTCTACACTGCAGAATTAAATGGATTATTCAGAACGTACAAATTTCAATGTTACGCCTTTGTAAGACGAAGATAGTGATGTGCCACTAAGAATATTCCCCAAGAAACGTTCCCGGGAATAGGGAATATTCCCAGAATATTCCCCAACCTTTCAGTAGGTTTCTTTAAAAAAAAAATCATTCAATGTCTAATTTCTATTCAATTTTATTTATTAAAAATTAATTTAATTTAAAAATATAGACATTATAGGTAGTAATTACTAATTAGAGCCCGGATTTAAATGCATTTAAAAGTTTCAAATATGATGCAAATACGAGAGGAATAAGTGGCTAAATATGCAATTATATGCCATATTATGTTATATATTACCTATTGAATGCGATTTTTTTTAAAAAACCACACTTTTACACCAAGGAAAGATATTTATCATAAATTATTTAAAAACCAATCTTCACACTTACAACTGAAATTTAAGTGTATATTTTAATTAAGTTAAGTTTATCCTCCTGTAAACTGTAATACTTTTGGATACAAAATATTTTTCATTTGGATTATTTACCATAAGTTTAATTTAACAAACACTAAAGATTTGATCAATATTTAAAAGCTAGTTGCAATTTACATTCCCGAGAGTTGCACATCACTAGACAGAGACAACATATTATGTGGGTATAGCGTTCTCTTAAGTTTAAAAAAATGAATTTAAAAAATGGTTATTTACTTAAAAATATAATAAGTATAGGTACAATGAAATTCATGAAAATAGATAATCTAAGCTATAAATATACAATTTTAAGTTTATTTCAAAATAGTAGTTAGGTATGTAGTTGGTAATAACTAAATACTAATTTATAATTTTAAATGTATATTTTATTTTGAAAAAATTGTTCATCCTAAGTAGAAATTGATTAATTTTCATTTTACTATTTATGTATTTTCCTGAAACATTGCAGTTTATCGCAGTTTACCCAGGTTGTGTTGACTATATTTTGTTTTATATTATACCGTTCTACAGTTTATTTTTAAATTCATCAACAATTTAATTAAGTAGGGTACTTGTTTGCCTATAGGGAGGTCGGGATGGGCCACCCCCCCCCACTATTTCAGTTAATATGAATTGTTTTATCACTTGTAAAAAAAAAATTGTACCTATGTGCTGTTTTATTGGAGAGTTACAACTTTGCCTCCCCTCCCAAGCCCTTATTTATATTTATACTGGTACCTTTGTTCCTTGGGCAGGTATATAGTATATCAATGGATTACGCATATAGGTAGTACAATATTAGGAACAAAACAAATATAAAGCAGCCATTTTATATGTTATAGTTGATAAACAATAAATGATACATTTTGGAACTAGCCAGCCTGGGGCCTGGTACCCTTGCACCTGGTTGAGGGTTCTAAAATTAAACTATAGTTAAGCGATCTCCTTTCGTTGTGCTAATATATAATTGTAATGTATTTAATCCATAAAATATGTGCTTTTATATAATATTACTTACTCGTTGTATTCGTATTACACTATAAATAGACCATTAGTTTAATAATATAACTAAAGATTATAATGTAAAGAAATTTACATTCGCACACACATAACAGTTTAAAATAACACTATGATTCTTT